GGCGCCCCGCCAGGGCCGCGGGGGTAGGCGGCGCGGCCCGTACTGTAATCATAAACCTGCAGCAGAGGGCATCTGAGGGAAAGAGGACGGCGACGGGCGGCAGCCGCCTTCCTTTTTTGTGCCTGTCCTGAGCGAAGCAGAAAATGGTGCCCGCGGCGGAGCGGAGCCGCCGCGCGCGCGCGCGCACACACACACACACACACACACACACACACACACGTGCACAAAGTCACATACAGCAAAAGCCGCGGCCTGTCGTGATCAACCCCAGATATACTCTCCTGGTGCTTCTTTCTCCCTCCCTAAAGAATTTAACGCGTTCCCCACCGCCTGAAATTGTACTTTTTTAAATCGAAAATTGCTTTAAAAAATAAAGTGCTTTGCCATTTCTGATTACAAAAACAAAAACTTGTCTTTCTTATTTAAAGTCTATCTTTTCATAGTAATGTAATAGCTTAAAATTTTGCAGCAAATTCAAACTGGTTGTGTTGCCAGCAAAGCAGGATATCATTTTATGGTAACTGTCAGATGTTAGAGGAGAAGATTATTTCCTAATTAAATTGCTTTGCCAAGAAAAAGAGACATAAAGGATCATAATGTCTTCTAAATTTGCTATCCACATTTTACCCCAATCACTGAAAGCAGTATTTTCCATTGTAACACTCAAAGAAAATAAGACAAATTTACAAAACTCAATTCTTAAACATATGTTTACAGAGTGTCTTTTTTTTAGATTTAAACATTTTGGATACAAAAATAGCAAACCTTAAAAAGCAATACTTTACACTCACAATTCTAAAAGAATGCATTAAATTCTCTGTAAGCTTGTTGCCAGAACTATAGATCACCTTTCAAACTACAAAACCCACTGCATCAACAAATACCTATTAGACTGCACCTGGTGTGATGTTTAAGCAGCCCACTGAAAGCTTCCCTGAATTAATCTAAAGCATCACAGTCTTTTTCCTGAAAGCAAAACAAAACAAAAAAAACCCGTATTTGGGTGCCATGGTTAAGAACAAAGGGAAGAAAAACAATTCAACAAATTCCCCTAGCCTCTTGGGCCCCAGTGTTCCTTCAGGCCCCAAAGTGACCTGATGGAAGGAAGGTGTAAGGAATAGGCTGGGTGGTGGGGGAGGTGAGTTGCTGCTCTGCAAGTCTGGAACCCCAGCAAGCTGGTCAAGGGCACCTTGACACTGGCGTTCACCTCAGACAGGCTTGGTAAGAAACCCAAGAGACTACCAGAAATCTATCCCAGCAATGTTAGTTCCAAAGCTGGTTCTACAAGGAAACACATAAATATGCACATACATACACAAGAACGTTAGAGTTTATACAAAACTTAACAAAATGTCCTCTCAAAACACAGGGGAATATGGGATTTACTAAATGTTAATTTTTCTTCATTGTAACCATAGACATTCAAGTGACAAATTTTTAAGTAATAAGAACACCGGGTCAGAGTCATAGCCTATTCATCTGTTGTGTTCCAGAAAGTTCTCATAATCCAACTAGCCAAGAAACATTCTTGAGTTTCTTCTAGGTGTAGAGGATTGTGCTAATCACTCAAGGATATAAAGGAATTCACACCATGTCACCTCACTCAGGAACTGTAGCAATAGCTGTCTCACAGTCTTTCTGATCGCTGTGCTCTGCCTCTCTATCTATCCGGCAGGTTGTACTATAGACCCAACCTCTTAAAATTTGTAATCATGATATTCTCTGCTCCATTACAGGATAAAGGGCATATTTATCCACAATGTGGCCCAACTTTCTAAACTTTTCATCCATCTCTCTCCCAATCATGGACTATTAGGCCTTTACTTCAGTCTGATCTGGTCCATAGGGCACATAATTATCCCTAGAACATTACCACTTAGAGAAACAAAGTCACTCAAAGGTTGACTTAAACCAAGATGTCTCAACTCTTCAGTAATATTGACATTTGGGATTGGATAATTATTTGATGGAGTAGGGATGTAAGGGGAGGCTGTCCTGTGCATCGTAGGATGTTTAAACAGCATCTCTATCCTCTACCCAGTAGATGACAGCAGCAAACACCAGTTGTCACAACCGAACATGTGTGTAAACACTGACAAATGCTCCTGGCAGGATGTGGGGGGGGTGTGGGAGCCCCACTCTAGTTGAGAGCCCTACTTTAAACAAACAACTCTATTCCTTGAGGTGGAAAGAGGTAGCCTCCCTTGATTCATGCATTCTGCATGGAGGAAGGCAGAGACCTGAAACAAACCAGGGTTTTCTTACGGAAGAGGAAAAGGTAGTAGGCAATGTCCTTATCTTCATGGAATTTGTAATCTGGGGTGAGAGGGTAGAGAGACAGCCAAAGCCAAAGTTAAGGTGCAATGTGATACAGACAATTGTAGAGATCTGCACAGGATGCACTGTGGGCGCATAGGCTCCTTTCTAAATCAGACCAGGAGTTCAAAGAAAGTTTCTAAGGGAGATAATGCCTAAACTGAATTTGGGAGGAATGAGCAAATGTCAGCAAATTGAAGAAGGAAGAAAGGAGCGTTCTGAGTAGAAACAGGGGCAGATCATGAGCTAAAAAATTTGATGACGAGAGACATCCAGATGATATAAGAAAATAAGAACACTGGGTCGGAACCTGAGTTGTCTTTTCTCCCTGGCAAGTATACCAAAGAATATAGTTCATCAGAGGATTTAATCAACAGGAGAAGATATACTGAGATATAGGATTTTCCTTCTTCCTTAGATATTTCATTCTCAAATGTTTCCTGATATAGCCAAATGTATCTCAAATACATATTCCCGCAACTTTGTTTATTTTCAGTCAGTGACATTGCTTAGGGTGGCAATTTCCATGAATTTGAGTTCCAGGAGAAAGGCTATGTAGAAAAGTGGTTACAGCCGGTTTTATGTGACCTTGAATAACTTATTTAACCTTTAATCTCAGTTTCCTTATCTTTCAATTAGAGTTTATACCATCGTACCAAAGTATTATGTGAAACTGTGTGCAGTGTTTAGCATGTTAGCATCATACATACAGTAGCAACAGGTGCTATAGATACCTTCATAGAATAAAACTAATATTATGTTTCACCATCTGTCCCTGCCTCTCTTTCTGCCCTTATCTCTTGTCCTTTCTAGTCAGACTGAGTGATATGCAGCTAACCAGTGAGTTTCACTGTTGCACAACTCTTGAGCCTTTTCACATGCTGTTCCTGATGCTGGAATGCCCCTTTCTCCCTTCTTCAATTTGCTAACTCTTGCTCCTTTTTCACAAGTTCAGTTTAGGCATCAACTTCTTTAAGAAACTTTCTTTGAACCCCTGATCTAATGTAGAAGTGAATCTTTTCTTCAGAGTGCACTGTTCAGAACTCTCTACTTGTCCTTATCATGTTGCTCCTTAATTTTGACTTTATTTTTCTCTCTTCACCCTTATACTATAAATTCCATGAAGGAACAGACTGTAGTAGACATTATTTGCCACCTAC